CTGATCATATTGTCAAAAAAAAAAAAAAGAAAAAAAAGAAAGGAACTTTCTCACCCCAACCAATTACATCATTTCACATTCATTTCACTCTATTATTTTCCATTATGTTTATAAACCTAATGCATCACAAACAAAATATATATATATATATATATATAGCTATTTTTAGAATATTATATGATATTATTTATGTAATATTCTCGATAAATGAGAAACATCAATACATATTAAGTGAATCATATTTTATTTATCAATTACTCAACAAATGTGAATCAATAAATCTTACCCATCAATTTTTTAATTAAATAATTAATTTAAAACACCACACAAATAATATTACATGGTGGTTTATAGGAGGTTTTTTTTTTAACACAAAAAAAAGGAAGCACCATGAGGGCATCATTACTTCCACAGGCCTTGGTCCTGAAATAACCGGTTTGCAGTTAGATTTAACACAACTCAAAGAAAGGGACTCCCCACCAAAAATAACAGCGGGTTCCAAATCAAATCCACAACAAAGATCGTAAAGCTTTACAATAAAAGTACAGCGCATCGTCTAAAAACTTGACACCCCAAATATCAAATTCAGACAACCTACACGTGAAAATGGCCCAAAATACCACTGGACCACTACCCCGGTAGTGCTTTATGGGAGTTGAGCTAGTTAAAACTACACTAATCGCACATATGGACCATCACTTCACATCACATAGATCAAGAAATTGACATATACTTGAGGTATTTCATTGCAAATCTGCTTTTGGGCATCTTAGAAAAATATGCATCACTTCACATCATATGTACCAAGAAATTGACCTATAGATGAGGTATTTTTATGCAAATCTTTTTTTTTATTTTTTTCTATCATTAGAAAAAGAAAGTGATTAATGTTAGAATAACGTTTTAAAACACTTTAACACAATTTAAGGAGAGAAGTGAATAAGAAAAGCATACTTGAATCCACCAGAGATTTTATTATACACACTCAAAAAAATTTACATACTATTATATATATCATCATCATTTTCAGCCATTGGGTTAAATAATTAAAAATACTCACATTGGATATTGAACATAATGGAAGACGACTTTAGTTATAATTAAAATCACAACCACAAATCGTAATCCATACCACTTTAAAAAATAACTAATTTTGATTTGATAATTTGTTAGTCCTACCACTACAATGGCTATTTTCACATACAAAAATTCGTAAATAATATCAATTTAAATTATAATTTATTTATTTATTTAAATCTTTAATCTTTGTTTTAAACTCTCTGCTCACCATACTACCACTACAATAATTTATTTAAATTATAAACCATCCTATGTGGTGTAGGATACAAAATGAACCAAGTTATTCAAACACGGTTGACATTAATTTATTTATTTTGAAGTTAGTTAAGCTTATCAGCTTAGCTTGAACTCGGCTTAATAAGTTTATATACTTTATAATACTATATAAAATAAAAATAAAAAAACAAAATTACACTTAAAGCTCAGTTCTTAATTGGTTCGATTAAAACTCGTTTCAAATTGACTAAAAATATAAATATACCAAATTTGAACACATTTTTGAACCTTGATAAATTTAAATAGAGTTGTTATTGGCTCGACTCAACTCGACTCCTTTACAAAACAATAGTAGACACTCTTGGAATATCATATGACATTATTTACGTGATATCTTTTGCAAATGATCAGAAATCACAGCAAAGGAGTAAGTCAGCATGCTTTAGCTATAAAATTTTCTACTATATGATTGATTTGAAATACCACATGTTGTTTCGGGACTACCAAATAATTACAAACCTGCAAATAAATTGTGTAATATAAGAAAATGTACTTCAATCTTTGAAGCATAAAAACACCATGGGAAAAACAACATGCTTTCATTAATGGTCAATGTTGCACATATATGGAGTCAACCAGAGAAACCAATCATATCTGGTGCACAATGGTCAACCACTAAGGCTCTATGTGGTCCTTTTTTGGATCTTAGCTGCTGAGCTTTCACTGTTACAGTTGTGTTTGGTTTAAATCCACTTACCTCCCAAACAGGAGGATCATCATCATCGATCATGCATGTCATGACTCAATATGTATAGAGTAACTATCATACGTGATTTAATTTAGTTTTTTTTTACTGATTAAAAAAAAAAAAAACTATCGGACACCGTTAATAATTTCATGCTTTTAAAATATTTTTTATATTTTTACATTTTTCATTCTTTTGAAAGCAAAAATATCATGTTTTCATATAACATTTTGATTCTTCATTGTTGTTTGATAAGAAACGTGCATGAGAGCAAAAATTCAATTTGAAACTAGACAACTGAAAAAGACATGACGGTCCTTATTTTAGAACAAGTAGTATAAAAACACATAATTTTAATGGAGTGTGGGCTCTTCTAGAAAGAACATTGTGCTGCTAACACTGCATTCCATTCAATTTTGTATGATTTTTTTCACATTTATGTTCATAACATTTTTTTTAGCATGATAGATAGCCTTGCATTCCACTAATTTCTATGCGAAATTTCTTTGTTCCATCCTGTGTTTTACATCGAATTAGCCCAGTAAAATAGCCGAGACTTATTTATCCGTTGACTCACAAAACTCTAAGTCGGCTTCATTGGAAATAATTTTATTCATCTACCCTAACGTGAAAGTGAAGAAAATCCTTAATTCTTAGTGGTTAAAACTAAAAATCGTAAATTGCTAGATAAGCTTCCTTCTGTACTCTGTTATCAGAATCTTACGATTCGCGATTCGATTCACAATTTTTATAAAATCAATATGAATCTATGGGTGAATCTCTCTTTTATCAAAATTTTACGATTCACAATTCAATTCAAATTTTTTGCAAAATCGATACGAATCTATGGGTGAATCTATTTTGGAAGTAAGGGGTTGTTTGGGATGACCTAAATAAGTGCACTTTTTGTCTTTTTACGAAAAAGATGTGCAGAAAAGTAGAGAGGTGATGTGATGAAAAAAAGATAAAAAGATAAAAAGATGGATTATTTGGGAATTTCCAAACTTGGCCTAAATCTCTAGTGAATCGCACGATTCACAATCGATTCGGGATTTAATTCACTTTTATGATTCATATAATTTTCTAAATTATTGTGTTCGGCATATTTTTGACTATTTTTTTCTCTATGTTTTTAGTAAAAATAACATAATACAACTTTTAATAGCGTTTAATACCAAAATAACCAACATATATACATAATTTGTTGTTATTTTAATGATCATGAAGTTTTTAATAGAATTCAATCAGATTCAGTCAGACCCAACATATTTTTAACCTTTCTTCTCATTTTTTTTCCCTTTAAAAAATCATAATATATCTTCTAAAGATGTTTAAGATTAAAGTTACACTATGAATTATCTATTGCTATTTTATTAAATTGAATATTACATATGTGAGGTCAGTTATACCTTTGAAAATGTTTTAGGCTTTAAAATAAAATATTTTAAATAATTCTTTCTTATTATTTGTTCACTGTTACTTAGAAAAGTACATATGCTTGTTGTCCAAATATCAATATCGTTGTTAATTATTGTTATTTTAGAAATTGATAATTTGTCTATTTGGTTATTATCTTTATTAAGAATGGTTGATAAGAAATATCTAAAAAGAAAAAAAGTAAGATAGTGATCTTACATAAGAATCTTTGTTAACTTCTTACCTATTAAACTACGTGATTATCACTCAAAATAACATTTTCATTGATTTAAATCTAAATATTTCATATTCATAAGATATGTTTAACATTTAAATGTGTAAATATATATTTTTAAGTAATTTTAAAAAAGTGATCGAATCTTTACGATTCATGATTCGATTCGATTCGCGATTCGGTACAAGGTCATTTCAATTCACGATACGAATCTCGATTTAACAACTATGCTTCTATACCTCATCTCTCTATACATCTCTATATTCTTCTTGTAGGTTTCAATTTGGACCCGCATCGATGATCCGAACCGTCTATCTCGTAGATCGTCCTCCATACAAAAAATCAACTTCATTAGAAAATTATAAATACAAAGATAAATCGTATTTTTTTTACAAAATGAATAATAAATATAATTAAATTCAAATCATTTCTATTTTATAAAACAAAATGTGATTTGTTCGCATGTCTATAGTTGTCCGATGAAATTAATTTTTTGCATGAATGACTTTCATTGTGGGACTTACAAGATAAACGGTTCAAATCATTAATGCAGATCCGAATTGAAACTCATAAAAAAAATATGGAAAAATACAGAAAGATAAAGTATGGGGGGGAATTTAACCCATAAACTGCACCACATTTAAATCAACAAATTATATTGTTTTAATCAATGAAATTCGAGATTTTTGTTCACCCACCTACCTATAGATGAGTGAAGACAATCAGACTCGATTTCCACAGTTCATGATTACCTTAATGAGGAGGTAATGACCCGAGCAAGGATCCCCTCCCTGCATTATTTTCTATTTGTAGGACTATTGAACCTATTTTTAGACTCAATTTTAATAATTCAAATCGTCATATTTTAAGATTTGTTCAGTATATTATACATGTAAAAAATTAAGTTGATCGGATATCAGAAAGCATGTGTTCGGAAAAATCGAACTAAAAACTTTTTTTTTTTAATTTAATAAACAGTTTTCCGAACACATATTTTCTGATATCCGATTAACTTAATTTTTTACAGATATGATATACTGAACAAATCTTAAAATATAAACGGTTCGGATTATCAAAATTAGACCTAAAAGTGAGTCCAATAACCCTACAAGTAAAAAATATAAGGAAAAAGTACGGGATCTTGACTCTCATGACCCATGATGACTTATGGATTTATGTCTTCGGCTTCACATTCCAACAAAATCAACAAGGTGGGGTCTAAAGTAACATAAGGTCCTTATTGCAATATTGAAACATTACAAGGTCACCCTACTAAAATTTTCCTTTATAAATACAACACATTCATCTCCTCTCAAACTTACCTAGAAACACACTTCAACACGCCTTCTTCATTAAAGCAGTGATAAAAAATAAAAATAAAAACCATTATAACCATGGGAAATTGCTTGGTTATGCAAGAAAAGCTTATTATCAAAGTCATGAAAACAGATGGAAAAGTGCTTGAATACAAAGCACCACTGAAAGCTCATCAAGTGTTGTCAGATTTTGCTGGCCATGCAATATCTGACACGCTCCCAGTCCTCCGGCATCTCCGCCCGGACGACAACATGGCCGGCGGTCACTTGTACTACCTCCTCCCTCTCCCATCACCACCGCCGGCGGTGACTGAGAAGAAAAGGGTCAGATTTGCAAATCCAGAAGTAGAAGTTGGCCAAGAAAGTGGTGTTGTGAGGATTAAGTTGGTTATTAGTAAGCAAGAGCTTGAAGTGATGTTGAGAAAAGGAGGGTTTTCAATTGATGAGATGGTTTATGATCAACTTAAGAGGAAACAAATTAGTTTGGATGATCAGAAAGATCATGAGTTTGATGATCATGTTGTTGATGATGATGATCATGACGATGGATGGAAGCCTGTGTTGGAAAGCATACCTGAAGTAAACTAGTTTTTTATGGTTGTGTTGTCTCTTTTTGTTTTTGTTTGAGGCCATGAAAGATAGGTTAAGTATGTTATTTTGTTGTGTTTCTTTGTTCTAAAACATTCATGGTCAATAGATCATGTGAACATAACTCGGTTGTGAATATTTTAGAACAAAGATATAAAAATTTAAAATAGAAGATCTCGTGTGTCCGAAAGATAATATAATATTTAGTGAGGTCATAAAAGATGTTGCAAGAATACAATTTCTAATGAAAGAGGGCTTTAAATATACAATTTTTGTTTATATAGGATGGTGTGATGTTTTATAATCCTTTCATTTTAAGTTCAAATGCTTATGCATAAAGTGTTTTGGAATTATCAAGTACAAAGAATCTCAGAGATGACTATAATGATAAATTTTACCAAAGAGTTTTATGTATAAAACTCATTTGTTAACCAATTTTTATACATTGAAACTTTTGTATTTGAAATATGAATTTGAATAACAATAATGACTTGGATTTTTTTTTTCCCACCCCCTTGACCCCCTCTTCACCTAATCGATCACTTTTTCTTTTTTCTTTTTCTTTTTTTCATTCTCCTCCAATCATCACCCTCCACGTGTGTGTGTGGGTGGTGATTGGAGGGGGTCTCAATCATCACCCTTTGAATAAACGTGAAGGAAAAAGTCTTTTTAAAAAATTAAAATTAAAATTAAAATTTTTACCATCTTTTCCAATTTTTTTTCTTTCCCTTCATGAATAATTATTACTCAAATTCAATTCCAAATGCAACCTAATGGAGAACAATCTGAAGCTTTAGTTCTTATTTTTTGTCTTTGCTAAAAACCTTTCCCAAATCAAAGAAAACAAACCAATTTGGTTACATTACAAACTAGTATTAGTTGCCGATCAAAAAAACAAAGTAGTATTAGTTATAGTTTAAAGTTGTATTTTTTTTATTTTTTTTTTATTTTTTTTAAAGTTATGATTCAATGTGTTATTCTTTGTTATGACTTATAGTAGTGCTTTTTTATTATAACTTAAGTTTTATTTTTTTCTTATTTATGACACTGTGGATTTGATTGTGACTATATTAGTTATGATCTATTTTAATTATGGTTCACACTTAAAAATGATATTGGTTATTGAAATGTTATTTATCGTCAAATTTATTTTAATATTTTGTAAAACCTCCTATGTATATTGATGCAATTAAAGCATGTGTATGCGTAGGAAAATGATAGAATCATGTCAACCAAAATTTTGGTTTTCAGTCTATTGTTTATAACATTCACTTTGTTTTTATTTTAAAAACTTCTACACCGATACAAACCAAACCAACCAAAATATTATATTTGAGTACTTTTATATTTTAAATTTTGAGCATTAGAAGTTAAATGACTAATATAATACATTTTTTGTGATAAAAACAAGTGAGAACAACATTTATAGAGCAATTCTCATACTTTTTCTTCATTTATTCTCAATTTTTTTATAAAACCTTTTAAGAAAATACTAATCATACAAAAATTATTACAATAATGATGTAGTAATGCCATTTTGGTAAATAAATTTTATCTTTGTGAGTGTTTTATTTTAAAGTGAATGATCTATATTAAACTACATCGTTATGCATAAAAATTTTGTATGAATTTTTTATTTGTTTATCATTACTCAACCTTTTAACATCTCAAGTAAATCTCTCCACTAAACCAAAACGACAAAATCCAAAAAATCGAATCGTAAAATACGATCTGCGTTGATCGAATCAAACTATTTACACCCCTGATACAGACAATGCCTCATAGTGTTTCAGATGAATAATTATTATTTTTTTTAGGTGTGTGCCAAAGCATAATCCATACAAATAAATGATTACATATTATAAATTCTTTCGCAATTGCAATAAGTAAAGTGATAGTGGTAATCATCATTGCTTAAACCATTAAAAAAACTATAGGGGAAAGTTACAAAACCTACTTTCGATTTGAGCCTTATAATAAAATAAATTTTAAATTTTCATTTTTATTAATTTAAATTCTAATTTTGAGATTTATTTTCAATCTAAATTATTTGTTTATTTTCTTTAAATAAAACTAAAGAAAAAAATAAAATTTTAGTCATCATATTCTTACTTAATAAAAATAAACAAATGTTTTAAATTGAAAATAAATTTTAAATTGATAAAATTAAAAATTAAAAATTTAATTTGTTGAAAAGTTCAAATCTTAGAATTGTTTTTGTAATTTTTCCAAACTACAAAAGATGAAGCATGTGAGCTCATGAGAGGCGCTTCAAAAGAGATTAATCTGTTGAAAAAGGAAGAACACGATTTTTTTAAGAAAAATGAAAAGATATTTTTTATTTTTTAACGTTTGTTTAGAATGAATAAAAAATTATCAAAAGAAGAAAAGGTCTTTATTTGTTTGATTAAAAAATGAGGAGAAGGAAAAAAATAATAATAATATTAATAAATGCAGAAATTTCACCTCCATGGGTGTTTAAAAAAATATTTTCAAATTAGTGATAAACCTTATAAATATTAAAAAGTAAAATTATAAACATTTTCATGACTTTGTATTTAATTTTTGAAAAGTTCACTGACAGGAATTTTCACTCAATAAATTGCTACTTGTAAGTTGACCTTGTAATAGTTGCTGCGTAATTTATTCCGAAAAAAAATAAATGGTTAATGAGTAAGGCTTGTGACTATCATGTTGTTTGGATTTTATAGACGATCACATGTCCTACTTTGATAATGCAATCTATTCAGTTTTTAAGTTATTGTATGTAGATTTTTTATGAGAAAAAAAAAAATTGATCCGATAATCATAACCATATAACTATTAGATCATCGGAGTAGCACTCATGTTGGGGCCCCACTAACCCGGAGGTAAGAAGGGAAGAGGGGTGGCACCGGAGGTGGGGAAAGGGTTGGGGTAGCTGCCAAAGGTGATGGTGGTGGTGGTCGAAACTGTAGAAGGTGGTGACAGAAGTTGGTGGAGAGAGGGTGTGGAGAAAAATATGTTTTGTAATTTTAGTAACTTAGTTAGGAGCACTTTCATGAAATTTATTAGCAAACTGTTTCAGTTTTTTATTTCTCAATTTTTCTCAAATACTTTTAGTTTTTAATCCTTTAGCCACCCTCATCAATTGCTTCAGGATTTTTTTATTGGGATAATCCAAGGTATTTCTCACCCATCTAACTCAATTAGACGTGAGTTATATCATATCTGAACAACTAAGAACTAATCTAGAGGTCATTTTTTTTTTTAATAATCTAGCTTATTTGTCGCCATCCAGTCCAATTAGACCCAAGCTACCTAGTCAAAAACTAATCCCTAGAAGCCTTAAAATTAATGACTAAACAAACCTCTAATAATCCCTTAAAAGACTTAAATTCAAAATCTTAATTTTATCAAACTCGAACTATTATTTCAAAAACTCTAAAATATTTGAACCATATGTTAATTGAATCCTTCTCCCAATTAGCTTTATTCAGTGCAATATTTTGTGTTGAAGAAAAGTCATATTATTTCATGAGTAGATTAACCCACCCATCTTTTTACTTTTATTTTGTCCTGCCAATTAGAAGGGATTAACCTAAATCCATAAGGATCATATGCTCTATGATGGTTTTCCACTTATCTTTTCCTAGGCTTGTGAAAGCTTGGGCACAATAAAGACAATAAAGGAATAATTTGGACATCTATTGTGAGAGTGGGTTATTTTTCCATATTTGAGGCAAGTCAAAAAGTGAGTTACTTACTTGCAGCCTCCTCCTACCCACTCAAAAAGGGTTTCAGTGAACCAACAAAAGTGAAGAGCATGTTCAAAGCATTACAACACACTATTCTTTTTTCATTTTTAAGGTGTTTCACCTCAATATGTCTAGAGATATCTAACTTAAAATCGATTCAGTTGGACATAATTCTTATATCTTATCAAAATGTCAAGAGTTTAAGTTCTATTGCAATCAACAGTCAAACCTTCACTCAGAATATAACCTATAATGCACCAAAAGAACTTTGAGATATCCAATCCCAAATCAATTTGCAATGGTAGACTTGAGTGGCTTAGAGAACAATGGGTAATAAGTCTAATACTTTTTACATGTGGAGGTGATTAAAAGATAGACAAAACGGAAGAAATAAATTTGGGCCTACGGGACCGCTTGAGGTGATAGAGAAATGGGAGATTCTATTTATGCCTAAAAAATCATTATATATTCTCAATTTCTATGTATATCTTATTTAATCATTTAAAATTTTATTTTACTCTCATTACATCTTATTATTTTTTTCAAATTACCCTCAAGGTAAACCCAAATAATAAACAAACTAAAAAAAACTAAATTATTTCAAAAACTTTTCAAATATAGAAAATAATTCTCAAATACAAAAGAAAAAAAAAAACCAAACTAATAAGCACATAAACATTATAAATATAGAAAAAACAAAAATTTTACATAAGCATTATAAAATTATTTAATACTAAAAAGAAAAAAAAAACTTTTACATTATAAATTATTCACAAGAATGCTCGTGAAAAAAAGTAAAAATCAAACTCATAAGCACATAAGCATCAGACACTAATAAGAAATAGTAGTTCTCAAATAATATATTATTTAAATAATAAAATAAGAACAATTTCAATAATATGTTATTGTTAATCTAACTACTAGGCCTTTTAATTTTTATCAAAAAACGATATAGAGAATAATTGATGGTACTCTACAAAAATTGTGAAACCCCTTTATATAAATACTTACCTTCTTTTTGCTGGGTTGCTTCAAAAAACTATTTTGATTATTACTCTAATCCATTATTTGATATTGTTCAAACTTTTTTTTAGGGTTTAGGATTTCAAAATAATAAAAAAACAATGATGTTGGTGAGTTTTGGTAGGATAGATTGGAGTTTTGGAGGGAGGAAGAAGAAGAAGAAGAAGAAGAATAAATAATTTTGATCTCTTGGAGAAGAAAATACAGATATTTGAATAGGAATAACTGATTAGAGTGAATCATGAGAAAAAAAATTATTTTAAGATTTAATATGTGTTATCCTTATTAATAAATTTATATTAAGATATAATAAAAATTTAAATTTATGAATTTAAATTAAACTTATTGAGATATATTTTGAGTTCAAACAGAATCCCCTATAGAGAAATGAACAAAACATGAGAAACAAACCGAAGGCTCATGAGACCACTTATCCAATTACATGGTAGCCTTTAGATAAATCTAACCGAAAACTAATTGCCAAGTGGCAGAAAGAACTTTAAATTATATGAACTAAGTTTGCGTCGATTAAAAATGTGATGCCGAACAAGTCTCTAACATGTTTATACTGTGTGTGGCAAACCCATTAAATTCCCCTAATACCTAGTCTCATTTGGTCAGATAATCACAATTAAGATTGTGTAAAATACTGTTTAATTTGTTAAAATCGCACGAATTCGCATCAATCCGTATCGCTCTAACCGCTAACCGCGGTTAAAATTTTAAAATTTATAATCCTCCAACCGAACCACTCCGCTCCGCTAAAATTAATACATATATATTTTTTTAACTTCTAATGAAATATCGATGTAAAAATAAGAGTGAGAGATTTAAGATATGCAATTTATTACAAATTAGTGGTTAACTTATATATATGAAACATATTATGTAAAATTACTCTGTGTTATATATCCAAAAAATATTATATAAATTAGTGTTATATATTATGCAAATGTATAATAATTAGTTAGAATATTTTTCAATCCGTCAATCTGTCAAAAACCGCCCAAACTGCAATTTATCAATCCGCTAACTTACCATTCAATTTGTAATTTTACACTCAAACCGTCTGAACCGCACTGCGAACACCCCTATCCACAACCCAATCTAGCTCTTGTTTGTTGCAAGGAAAGCAGAAGCAAAAGCGAAAACTAAGGGCATTGCAAATAAGTATGAGAGAGGTATAAAGAACTATATCACAAAAAAACAATTTATCTATTTAGAGAAAATATAATAAGTCTCACAATTTTGACATAGTTAAAAGGTTCAAAATTAATATATATGGTATGAAGATATAAAGATAAACAAGATAAGAAATACATTTCAATATAAAAGTGATGATTACCTCATATTTTTATCCATATGACTGACAAATTACTAATGAAAAATGTGTAAAGTTATAATGTAAATTAAGAACTTAGAAAGCTCAATGTAATTATGTTGAATTTGTAAATTTTATTGTATTTTTCTCAAACTTTAAATAAAGTCCATGTAATTTACCCAAAACAAAAACGGAAACGGAAAAAAATACAAAACAAATAAACAAACAAACAAACAAATTGTGTGTTGTTCAAAAAACAAAAAAAACAAAAAAATTATGAAATGATGATTTTTACTTTATCAGGCAATTAGTTACATAGACTAGTTTATTATGTTCACACTTAGAAATGGAGCATTAGGAGGGCAAATTAACTAGAGCCCCATATTGTATTGGATATCAGTGGGATGGTAACATTTTTCTAACTCCACTACAACATTGCATGCCCACTTTGAGGCCTAGTGGTTGACTACAATAAAATTGGTTGTAATATATCTTTGGATTACAATCTCATCAAGTACACACTGTTCGACTGTAGCTTGCTCTAATATTTCACCCCAAACAAATGCCCGAAAGTCTACTAAAAGCCTAGGTTTAGTAAATGCATCCGGATCCTCTAGAGTGATCCTTTATAACGCAACACGTGTCCCATTAATGGAACCAATGGCTAAGATGATCCCTCGCCAATATAACATCGTTTTAGTGAGCTAGACTAAAAAAAAAATAAAATTTGCAGAGTTTGCAGATCGAGGGGGAGGAGGAGGAGGAGAGGGAGTTGAGGAAAATTTCTCTCTACAAATTTTTTGCAAAGTTTGATCCACAATTTTTTGCCGAAATCACGTCGCTCGAATCTATTCTTCAAGAAGCTTCAAGGACAGAGATTTGCAAAGATTTTTATGGGTTTGAGAGATGAAGAAGAAAATGGATGGATTTGCAGAGAAACCCACATGAAAATGAATTTAATGTCATCCATGGCGATGAACTTCCTGAGAGATCAAACCCATTAATCCAACACAGCAAAAAAATGAAGAACAATGAAGAAATAGAAATTGAAAAACTTATTCACCCAAAAAATAAAAAACAAATCGAAAAATGAAATAGGATTGAAATTTGAAATCCATGTACAATTAATGAAAATCGTCTCTCCTTTAGTATGGAGAGACGATATGCCAAATCAGAGATCGATTTCGAAGATCAACTATCCGTATCTCCACTTCTTTGGGCAATTTTTACCATATTACAGATGTCAAACTCCGAAATCAGCTCTGAACCTAAAATATCCCTTGAAACTTCACGATCTATGACCTCAAACTGTCGAACAACTTCCAGCTCTACAGACTCTACAACAACCATCTTTGTATCCTAAGAAACTCGTTCACCATCACTTTCACTTGTACGTATCCCACTAACTGGAGTGCCCCCCTTCTGTTTGCTGAGATCCTCCATTAAATCTTGTAAAATGACCATAACCCCAACGCATTCAATGAAAGATTGAATCCAGAACCCTAGAACAAAACACGGTTCTAGAGAGAAGAAAGAGATTCTCTCTCCAACCCATTCCTTACACTCTCTCCTCTTCCCTCTCGAACAGCAAACTCTGCACACAAAAAAAAAAAAAAAATTGGGGTTTGGCTCACCAAAACGATGTCATTTTGGTGAGGGATCATCTCAACCATTGGTTCCATTAATAGGACACATGTTGCGCCAATCACTTCACAAGATCACTCTAGAGGAACCGGACCGGACGCTTAGTAAATAGTATATATAACACTGATCTCATGTAACAGTGTCACTAATTATTAAGAAATTTCACATCAAAACAGTAAAAAATTACATAGTAGAGATAGTGGGTGACAATAAGTGTCCTACCCAACCCCATTTGCAATATTTGTTCTAAATGCAATCATGTTTAGAGAGAATTAATAGAGAGAAAATATAGTAGAAAATGGGGAAAAAAGATGAATATATAGTAAAATTCCATGTGCATAAAAATGCCACAAATTTTGTTAGCCAATTTGACACCTTACTAATGGAATTGCAATTTGAGTGAAGAGTGAAATTGCTAAAGATACTGTTAAGTGTCCTACCCAACCCCATTTGCAATATTTGTTCTAAATGCAATCATGTTTAGAGAGAATTAATAGAGAGAAAATATAGTAGAAAATGGGGAAAAAAGATGAATATATAGTAAAATTCCATGTGCATAAAAATACCACAAATTTTGTTAGCCAATTTGACACCTTACTAATGGAATGGTCACTTGCAATTTGAGTGAAATTGCTAAAGATACTGTTTCAATTTTTTTTTTTTTGTTTTTAAATGATAGCCTATAGTTATTCGTTGTAGAAGCAAAACTGCAAGTGTAATTTACCTCTCAAAAAAATATATAGCATGATTTAAGGCAATAAATCACCTTCAATTGGACCAATAAGCTCTTTCTCAATTGCTAATTTGCTATCAAGAGCTTACCATTTCCAAAATTGGAGTTAGCAGTACTTGTATAGAAATCTATGAACTAGTGTCAAGGTCCAATCTCATCATCTATCAAAAGGATTCATACTTCATCGATTTCAATCCTCCAAAACATTAGGATGGCAGGCATCAAATGCTTATGAGATCGGACATATTTGAGATCTTTAATTGCACCCTAAAATCAAAAGGGGCAGATAAGAAGCCCTAATAGATGCAAGCCAATTGTCAACAGTTACTTCAATATGAGCTATCATCCATAGAATTAATGTTGCACCCAAAAACATTGTACTACTTTGGCAAAAGGTTTAAGTTAAACACAGAAAAATTCAAATTCAATCCTTCAATGCATAGACAAATCCAAATGTAAACCAACATGAATTCAAATTGAAGAAAACATACAAAAAGAAAGGTGGGCGAACTAAACTGCCAAAGCCTTCTGCTGGCCATGCCAAGCAACAACATCTTTGTATGCCAAATTGCCCCCAAAAATATCCAAAGCACTACCCACAGTGACATCCACATTCTCCATCCCTGCAGATTTTATCTTCTCTAAATCAGCCATTACTGTGACACCACCCGCATAAGTCACTGGAATCTGACAAGCCAACCGCAACGAATCAACAATTCGCCTAGTGAGTAGATATATATATAAATGGCTATGTGAATATGTGTATAACTTCTTTTGCCTAAGTATACTAGTGGATGGGGCAGCAACCCTTTAATACCTATCAATAAAGTTCTCGTACTTGTCAATCAAAAAAAAAAAGTTCTACACCAAGGCTCCATTTGTTTCAACGTAAAATATTTTACATCAAAAAATATTTTTCATGTAAAACAATTTTATGCAAAAAAATAATTTTTCTTCCTCTTTTTCAGTGTAAGATTGATATTTGTAAAATTTTTCAAATACTCATATTGAACTTTCTCAAACTTGCGATTAGTTGTGGACATTGAATTGATACTGGGAGAACCAATCATTTATATTGCATTCCCCCAATTGTCAAGAGAAGTCGAGCAAGTTAACAGAAAACAACTTATGGAATTTTAAAATCAAAGTTATTTTTGGGCTTTTCATGAAAAATATTTTTGTCCAACCAAACAATGGAAAATTACATCGAAACAAACGGAGCACAAGTGTAAGTTGACGTGATCCTGCTCTATGCATATGTGTGCTGATATACATAAAGACAATCTAGAATATATATGTTTTTCGCAAAGAAAATAGACAACAGAAAGCATAAATAAGAAAGGCAGCCTGGTAGCCTCTGAAGCAAATGACAGGTACAAACTTAAAGGCAAACACAAAACAATGTGTTACTTACAGGTGAATGCCTGCCAAGCAACGTCACAAGCTCTTCATCAATTCCTAGCCTGTAATAAACCAGTAACTAAAATCAGATCACTTAATGAAATTAGAGAAAAGCACAACTGGCAGGGTAACCATACACAGTACTACCATACACATAGCACTACCATTAAGCTGTGTTTGGATTGTACATTTTGGAAGGGATTCGTGAAGGGAAAAGAAAAAGGAAGGGAAATGTTAAACAAAATTTATCATCAAATACAGAATTCATTTGTTTGAAAGTGACTGAAAGTTGAGCACTTGTAAGTAAAGTTGTCTTCAACTAAATTAGAAAGTGCCTTGATTGAACACATGCAAACTGACCCAAAAGATCCACAATTAATCAAGAATAAGAAGAAAAATTAATTTATAATCACCTAGGTATATTGACTCAATAATAATATCCCCAATGAATGAATGATGACAGGAAGGAAGAACTTTCAACCACTTTGACTGCCTTGGGGGAACAAAATGGCAGAGAGGATATTTGGTCGCTTTTGTTCTATGAGGAAAATCTGTTTTATTTCAAATCACCCACCCCTTGTTTCAAAGGTGGCCTAGCTTATATTTTCATTATTTTTAATAGTGCAATTATGGTGCACTTGTGACATCCCGGTTCAAACCAGTTGACCTGGCGGTTGAACCAGTAACTCTTCACTTGGTCTCTTGTTTGGTTCACTCCATGATCCGTATTTCAAAACATTGAACTGGAGAGAGCAAGTTCACTCCCAAGAAAGAACTATTTTTGGTGAAGTCTTAGATGTCTCATATAAGACCCACCAGGGCAACATTTAGCAGAACCTTGAAAAGTAAGGACTAAGATTAAGAGTACTAAAAAAAGGGCTCAAGCCCTATGAAAAAGTTGGAACATACCTATGAAAAATTCAACAAACACTTTAACAAGCATGCTCACCAAAAAGTACAAAAATTCTTCTTAATCCAATACTAAAAATACATACTGATAAACAACTAAAGAAGAAGAGTAGCAAATTTTCAGCACTCTATCATGTGAAAGGCTCAGCTGCTTTATTTATTTATTTATTTATTTTTCTGCTTAAGGGATACAAGGCTCAGCCTCTAATATAGAAAACCAAACATCACCACTATAATGCCATCACTCAAAATGACCTAATAAGCAACTCAAAATGTATAAAGCAATTCTCAACATCTCTTTAATCGACACAAAAGAAAAGGGGTGGGGTGATAGTTTTGAGAGTCATCCTAGTACTACAACACATCCAAGGACAAAGGAAATATAGTTCCATTACATTTCTTCTAAGGTTTGAGATGGCAGAGGATGGAAAGTACCAAAAAAGTAAGCACAAAAAATAAAATGATCAGAAATTTTCCTTATGAAAATTGATTTCATTCCTCAATTAAACATCAATGTCCCAACCTTATCAGAACAAAGATCTTTCTTTCACAACAAATAACCACCTTGAAATAAGAACATGGGTGAAACATCAAAGTATTATATAAAAAGTTGCAGCAAGAAGAACAAAATACAGTTGTACACTTACTTTTTCCCTTCAACATCAACGCCATGGACAAGAAACTCATCGGCATATATTGCAAGAAAATCCAATATCTTTTGATCAAGACATACATCAGTGAATTTCTGCCACCTGTCGGTGACAATTGCATATTTTCCTTCCTGCATATCAAAATATAATTAGGAGGCAGAGGAGGAGATAAAAGGAACTAGTGATAAAGAGAACTTTCACGCAGTTTGAGTCTTCAATCTTAATAATATGGTATAATATCCAAGATTCTTTTTAACGCAAGGGTAGCCAGCATCAAGACCCTCCTCATCTACCTCCCTCCACTCCAACCTCCTATTTTCTACCATCAATTACGATGGTACAAACCAAATTCTTTGACTCCATTTCACTTCTGGCTATGCTTCCCCCACTCTTCCTTGGAGCTATACTATCCACTTCCTCATCCCTATCTTCCCCCCTCTTTTATTGCTCCTCTAACCATTTGGGACTAGACTCTGCAGCTGCAACTACAACTTGGTTGTACTTATTGTATTTAGTCTTCATATCTGTGCGAGCCTAGCTCAAAGCAGACTTTATTGTACATTGAACAGAGCATTACAAATTGTATTACAGCTAGCACCAACAGAAAATGTGGGCAGGCCCCACACAAAAACTTGTGGCCCTAAGCAGTGGATTGTGGTGATCCAAATCCAAAAGCCAAGACTACTAAGGTTTGGAATCAAGATGGATAAGGTTTGGAATCTTGGTGAGTGTGAAATAGCATATAAGTGTAAGCTTGGACCCTCATTGTACAACCAAATTTAAAATTGTTCAGGCCTAACCCAAAACAAACAATATTGTACAATGCAGGGTGGGGGCATTACACAAAAGGTCATACATAAGATATGAGATAATGAGAGTGTTACAAATTCGATGGTACCAAATCCATGTACTTCATCCCACATTGTATGGTGGGTGTGAAGTAGCATATAAGTGAGCTTTGGACTTTAATTGCACAATGAATTTTAAAGTCACCCATGCCTAATTCAAAGCGCAGAAATTCTACAATGCAAGGTCAGGGCATTAATGCTCTTACTCTGAATATTCAAAACAAGAGTCTAACCCCAAGCTAAATGAAGATTCAACTAAATTCTTAGAAGAACTACAACACTGAGAGATAAATACTTGAATGAACTTTAACTCGTATAATAAAAATTACAATAAAAGGAACTGAATACAGTAGTCTAGTCACTAGTTCCAAAACCTCACTAGTACATGTGATTTATCTTCTATAACTTTCCTACCTTCTTTCTGCAACTAAGATCCAACACGAGCCTCTGTCTTCCAACAACACAAACAAGTTCTTTAAGCCTCTGAAGGTCCATTTGGCCATTGTTGAATACATACTGCAACCAAAAAAGGGGGACAAGGGCTTTCAACAAAGAGATTTAAACTAGAGTTTCTATCATTATTGTGTCATACAAATTCACAATAGATTCATTCATTAGACCTGATTAACAAAAAAAGTAACATAAATAAACCATCCTGAATATGTGTTTGAGGATTACAGAACTTCCTCAATGTTCTCTCATTATAAAACCCTCATAATTAGAGTAAATGGCATCCAAATTCAAAAGACTGCTTTTATTCTGCATCTTAATTGGGAATCTAAATGTAATCAAAGATTAGACAAATTAGCCTATTGGCTTTATATGCAGTTCCACAAAATCACAATATTCGCATGTGGGTGGGGAAGGGAGAGAGAGATGGGAACAAAGAAATAAATTAACTATGTTGGTCATTTTGACCGTGCTCTGTTTTTTGACACATAACAGATCCACCGATGTACATTCATAGATAAGTTATTATAGATTCAGTTCTTGAAAAAAATGAAAGTGAAAACATACCGATGTGATAATGACATGGCTGGCTCCTTCTTCTATGTAACTTAAAGCGTTGTCTGGATTGATCCCACCTCCGACTTGCAAACCACCTAAATGTTATCGGTCCTCGCAGCAAGTTCAGCAGAGACATAAAACTTTTGGTGATGGAGAAGACAACATGGGACTGGAATAACATCAGCCTTTTAGATTACATAAAGAATATCCTGGCTAACTAATACTAGAGGTTCTTGGTGTATATAATATAACTATCCATATGTACATAGTTTTATACATCATATATATGAGCAAATTAAATTCCAAGAATGTGAAAAGCACTGATCACGTGAGTTATAAAACTCCAAAATACAGTCAGCATAATAAAGAAAGAAAAAAACCATGACAGTAACCAATTTTAAAAGAATCCAGTTCCATAATGAAGATACAATATATCAAATTCTGCCAAACAATTGGGAGGCTCCAATCAATAAGAATCTTAGTTACCATATATAAATATACATATTACATACACACACACACACAAGTATTGCCAATAGGACCAGTAGACTAATTATTTCTAAGAACATTACACTGTTCCACCCATACTTCTTATAACCAATTCGTGCTAGACACAGTTTTATTTATTAATTGAGTTTTATCTTTCAGCTGGTCCAACAAACATTCATAATGAACTAATGCTTATTACTCGATGAATAAGAAAACAACTGATATGCAATTTTATTCTGTACTAACAGCCAGTTAGTAACTGGCATGCATAAACTAGAAAACACATCAGAACAATATTAAACAATGTAAACAACAATATATAAGGAGAAAGTAACTATCGTCTACCAGGATAGGCATGCAGTGCTTCAATGGCTGCAGATTTGCTTACAGGATCAGCTCCAATCATAATTACATGACCACCTATAAGCCCATCTTCTTTGTATAGGTTTGCATACACTGCCGCTGACTTATCTGATTCAAAATTGGTTACCGGAGTTGAACCACTCTCCTTCAAATCCTGAATGGTAGACCCCACAATTTGCTTAACTTTCCCCTGAAACAATTTATATGTTAAACGCGAAATTTAAAATGAGTCACTTTTATAATTGCCACAAAGAAGAACTTTAAACACTCCGAAGCGGCAATCAAATAGCTTATACATGTTTTGATGGTCAGACAGTGCCTAGCATAGGATAGTAGTACAGAAGCCAACCATTGGACTATCCAAATTGCAATTTAAAAGGTGATAGGACATGACAGGGTTCTTGCTCCTCATTAGCATCAAAGCAAAAGTCACAAGCATCACACTTCATGCAATGCATTGCATTCAAATAAACATTAGCAAAAAAATCATGGGAAGATAAATGATCATTAGTACAAGATATACAAAAATCATCAGTAGAGAGAGAGAGAGAGGAGATTCATAAGAATCGTTCAAATCTTAGCTTATTAACAAACACAAGGTCCACTCCATGTAGCTCATTCATGAATGTGCATTTTAAATTCAGCAGAAGTATCAAGATTTGAGGAGCATGTCTCATCATAGAACTTGAACTTATGGTGTCAACTTTAGGTTGAATAGATATCAACATTCCACTTTGTTGAGTACTACCTCTAAGTGAGACTTGAGTTGTAACCCTCAAAATCTATTTTAAAGTGTGAGAATTTGTGTAATGCTCATAAAAATTGGTCGCAACCTCTACCTAAAGCCATTACATGACTAATTTGAAATCACAGACCAAAACAACATGGGAAAATCAGTTGATATTGACATGTGGTAGCCTTTATGGCTATGTAACAACCAGCCAAACCAACAACATGCATCCATAACCTGTGTGATGGGATCCAAGAACAAGAGAGAGATAAATTGTAGAGAGGAACCCAAAGGCTTCTAGAGAGAGAGAGAATTTCAATATCAAATCAATTATTATTCATCAAAGTTCGTTAGAAAACATCACCCCGCTCTAGTTATAAGCCACTAACTATCTCACACGATAGGCACATATCCTACATCACTGATTGTCTATGCTCAGCATTCAGAATGTCAAATTATGAAGTCCTAGACACCAATTTCAATTCTTGTTACTTTCTTTTCTAAATCTCTAGAAAAAGACATTCATATCTTAAATCTATTAAATTTATAACTAAAAAATGAAGTATAATATCAAATCTTCAAAAAAATGTTCTAAGAAAACTAGAAATGAGTAAAACCTCTCTAGGATTTTTTTTTTTTTTTTTTTTTTTGGATGAATCTTTTGACATTACTTTATTTTTCTAAATTAAAACCCAATTCCTTCAAGGTTGGAAATTACAATCACGAAAATAAATAAAAATAAATAAAAACTTGGTTGTATTTATGTGCACATACACTGAAACACACACACAATCATGCTAAACCTGTAGGAACACTAAACAATGAATGAGCAACAAAATTAAAAAATATGTAGTTTTTTAAAGTAGTACAACCTTGTGTATGTCAATACAAGGCCTAAATCGAACTCCGCATCGGATACACAGCCCTCGAGTTCCTGCACGAATCAAACAACCTCAACTTCAATCATTACAAAAAATGCTTCAACATATGTGGCATACGATGAAAGAGACGAAATGGAAGCAGACATACTGGAGATTGATGAAGACACAGTTCCGAAAAACTTTTGCTGATTGTTGTTGTTGTTGTTGACATTGTAGATTGCAGAGCTCGAATGGACGCTCGACAAGGTCGTAGTGGCTCGGAGGCTTTGAATTCTCATTCTTGTTCGACAAAATGACTGAACCAGTGGTTGTTGTCGTCGTCAGCACAATTTGGTACAAACAGAGGACTAGCTAGGGCTTTATAGAAAGGTTCGGGCATGGACAACCCGCCCCTGACCCGGAAACTAGTCCCAACCCATTTAGGAGTGCACAAAAAATTCGACAATTGATTGGTTCAGTTTTTCAATACATTAGTTTTATTCTATATTTTTAAATTATCAACCTGATATGATTTGATTTAAGTCATATCTAAATTGACCAAAATTATACGTATGCACATCATTCACTTCATATATGAGATAAAAATAAACTTTTAGGGTTCGTTTGGTTTGTATTTCTGAAAAAAATTTGAGAAATTTTCTTTACAAATAAGTTTTTAAAAGTAATTAAACCAAACAAATTTTCCTAAAAAAATTTCTCAAAACTTGTAAACCAAACAAGTTTTCCAAACAAATCTCTCTCTCACACACATCAAATCAATCACTTTTTCCAAAACTCTCTTTCAAAATAATTTTTCAAAACATCTTTTGAAAAAAACCAAACCAAATAACTTTTCGTACTTTTTATCTCTCAAACACAAACCAAACATACCCTTAGATTTTGATCTAATGGTATAAATTTGAGATTTTAGAATTTGATCATCTCTAAATCTCAAGTTCAATGCTATTGATCTATGTGTTGGATTAGTTCATACAAAACTTTAGCTTTAATTGAGCCCTACTAGAAGACGATGGGATTAATTCTCTAAAGATTGGTCGAGAGAAGCAAAAACTGACCCAAATATTTTAAGTTATCAAAAAAAAAATATAAGACAAAATGAGTGATAATTGTTTTTCTAACATTAGTTATAACTTATAAATTGACTCATTTGCTTTTAAAATTGTGGGGGGTAAAATTTGAACTACCATTCATATAAGTTTAAACAAGCTTTGAACAAGGCTATAAGGCTGAGTTAAGATGGAGCAGGTTGATATGACCGAGTTAGTGTATTTTGAAAGATATGTACAATTGTAAGTTAAACCCCAAATACCGAACGAGAATTAGGTAAGGTAAGTTAAAAGTCTGACCAAGTCAATGTTGGAAAGTTGGTTTTATATAGGTTTATTTTGAGTAATTTTGAGTTTAAAATTGAGTGGGCCCTAAACGTCTTTTGGAATGGGTTTGAAAAAGTGACGTGTTCCTTGCCCATGTGGCAAGTCACACAGTAAAGACAGTTCATCAAAACCATTTATGAGTGAATAGGAATTTGACGTCGCTTTCGATGTTCGTGGAATGGACATTTAAAGATTTAAACGTGGGTTTCCTTGTAAGGCTTCTCCCATATTGAAACTTGAAAAGAACTTATGTGTGTATATAAGTTCTAGGTGACAACACTTGGGTTGGGCTCCAAGGGGCTCTCCAAGTTTGTAAAATGGAGGAGTTAAGGACAAAGTAAATCTTAACCCAAACCACCATACGCGCGCGTCGCTGCCGCCGTCCGGCCGAGCCGTGCTGGGTGTGGGTTGTAGGTCGGTTCGGTTCTAACATTAATTTTTTTGGCAAAATTTATTTGAATTTTTTCAAAAAATTCTTGCTTATATTTCAAATTAAATTTGAATTCGAATTTTTATCCAACCTCCGAATTCCACTAAATTCCAAACAGGTTAAACAGTCCAAACAATTTTCAAAACTGTTGGAACCCAAACAGATTTAAAATTGCCAGACAGATTCAAATCTATCCAGCAGTTACCAATAGATATGTTCAGCAGTTATCTGTTTCAAAACTGTCCAGACAATTTTTGGACAGATTCAGTTATCTGTTCTAAATTGAAACAGCACATGTCCATTCAAAAAAAACCACATGTTCAAATTGTGCTTCATACCTGTTCGGGACTGGTTGTTTGCCTATAAATAGAGGCCATTTCCAGCAATCCTGTAGATTTGAAAATTTAATTCTTTCCTTCTAGTTTTGCTCTCTTGCATGATATAATCTTCATATTAATTTTAAGAAGAAAAAAAACAGAGAGTAAGAACACAGGTTTTTGTTCGCCGAACAAATTGTTTGGAGTACTACTACAATTTGTGAAGATCATTGTATCCTGGGAGATAGATGCCACTTAACCATAAGCACCATAACGGGGCGAATCTGTCTTAAAGACAGAGTGTCACACACTCAACTTGATCTTTTATTATTCATTTGGTTCGGTAAAATAAATTCGGTACGTAATTTATTTTATTTATTTGATTTAGTTTTAATTTATTTATTGTACGCAGAAGATTGTTCCAACAATTTTAAGAGAGATTCGAATTATTCTGTTTACAGAATTTTTCGTTTGTTTCCTTTTCTTTTTCTTTTTCTTACAGAAATTATTTTTTGTGATTTTACAAAAATTTTATTCTGGTTTGAAAACAAATAGTAGTAATATACTGTTTGACATATAATAGTAATATACTGTCTATTTTCTTTGACAACTGGTAGTAATATACTGGTGTCATTAACAATTTAGAATATTTTTTTGTGAAATTTTGTCAGAAATTAATTTTGGTTTTCAAAAATTATTTTCTGAGTGTTCATTAATTAAAATTATGTTTCAGTATTTTAATTATTGAAGTGTTACAGAAATTTAATTTTCTGTGTGGAATTAATTTGGTTAAATAAAATTTTATTTTATTTTCAAATTAATTGAAAAATAAAAGTTACATTTCTTGTTTATTTTATTTTTACAGAATTTAATTCTGTGGTTTTGGTTTAAGTTTTCTGTGTAGTATAAAATTCTAATTATAATTTTGTTTTATAATTTAGAATTCATGGTTACTGAAACTGGTCAAACTAATACCCAAACAAGTATTAGTGTACTGGCTGCAATTGCTCCAACCCCTCCTGTTGTGACTTTACCAGTCAATCATCGTGAGAAGCTAAAGAAGTTTTGTCACGACCCAAACCCGTCCCTATAGGTTTAGCGTCGTAACCGGCCAGTAATCCTTGGATTACCAAAAGCCTCTTAAAACTTGACTTGAGATTAGGAGCTGCGAGAGTAATTACATAAAGACATATACAAAGTCCATCGAGCTGTGCAGACATACATGGAACTGAAAATCTTAAACTTTATAAACAAAAGAAACAGTCTTATACATCTATATTGACACAGCCACAAAACATGACTTGATCTGGAACCTCCTCAAGAGGCGCAAAAGGTAGCTGACCAACACAAAAATACCCCAGGCATCATCTTAAGCCTGATCACGAGTCTACTCACCTACATACATAATAAATAACTAGTGAGCGGAGGCCCAGTGAATAATAACAAAGTAAAGGGGTAAATGAATGATGTCCCATAACTATAGCTGAAACTGGAATTCACATTCGTATTCTCATTCTGAGTATGTATACAAAAATCAAGTTCATGCTTAATCTTACGTATTACATCCGTTAGTGTTGATAGATCTCATACAGAGTGGCTTGAATCATATTTGTCAGTTCTATAGAAGAACCTCCGGCCGGGTAAGGATAACTTGTCAGTCCCATAAAGGAACCTCTGGACTGGGAATCTCTGGACTGGGAACTTGTAAACTTGTCAGTTCCACTAAGGAACCTCCAACCGAGTATAGATAACTTGTCAGTTCCATAAGGAATCTCCGGTCTGGGAACTTGTAAACTTGTCAATTCCACTTAGGAACCTCCAGCCGAGTATAGATAACTTGTCAGTTCCATAAGGAACCTCCGGTACCGAGAACTTGTTGCATACTTGAAACATAGCATAATATCACTTGTAACATACTTGAATCATGGCATAATATCATCAATGTTTGTTATTGTTGGACAATCATTCATATTATAAAGCATGGCATTACTTTCAGCAGATCTTATTTTGTATACAGAAAATATATAAGGTTGAACATAGCTTTACTAAGTTATTACTCACAGAGATGTGTGACCAATTCAACTTCATTGAGATGCGTGACCTACACAGTTACAGAACGAACATACACTGAATTACACACCCGGAAATGATAACTTAGTCCTTTCTTGTTTTGGTGTGTTTCTACCTCATTATCCTCATTATGGTGTTTTAATCATGGCCTAGGAATGTCTAGGATGGACTAAAGATGCAGGAAAATGCACTTGAAATCATTTTTCAAAACTTGCTGAAAACAGGGTCCACGCTCGAGCGTAGCTTTCCTCGCTCGAGCGGACATGCAAAATACAAGGGTTCGCTCGAGCGTTACTTCCCTCGCTCGGCTGGTCTGAAAACTTTGAAAAAGTTCTGGTTGCTTGTTTTTCACGCTCGACGGACGCTCGATCCCCACTCGAGCGTGAGACTCAGATCCTCGCTCGAGCGTGACTTCTGCCGCTCGAGCATGCTACAAAACATATGAACTTCTAGGAACATGCAATTCATGCTTGAGCGGGCTTCAGGCCGCTCAAGCGGAAGTACACGCACTCAGAGTGGTCGCTCGAGTGTGGATGCAAATTCTAGAATTTTCAGATTTGTTCTACCAGCTCAAAATTCAACTTTCAAGCATCAAAACTTTATTTTCTAGGTTAAAACTTGAGAAAACACTTAGGAACTCATAAAACATCGTGAATTAAAAATCATTTCAAGAAATCATGCCTCAATAGCTTGCCAATTATGCAAAATTCAACTTGAAATGTAGGAACATGCTATAAATATGACATGCATGTATAATTTGAGTTCATAGTTTCCCAAAACATGATCAAATGAAATATTCAACACAAAACATGGTGAATTCTTAGATTATAGCCAAAATATGAACATGCATATGAGAATTCTCATGAAAACAACTTCAAAACTTCATGATATGGACATGCATGCATGGAATGACTTTGTTCTCTTAAATTCTAGCTCAACTCCATGTGAATTCACCTATTTCATTTCTATTCATGTACTAAATGACTCAATTTCAAGGTTGTAAGGTTGAGCTCTTACCTAGGCCACTCAATTGAGCTCCACTTAAGCAAAATCTTGAGCAATTCACCAAATCTCCTAGCACTTCTTTCTTATCCCAACTTTGATCTCAATTTTCCTTCCCCCCCTCTCTCTCCCACGTTTTTGCTTGTT